CACACACACACACACACACACAAATGTGTTCTATATGAATAGTGAAGTTTTCTTTTCTGCTACATAATTTAAATATGGGTAAGTAAGTTTTGTTCTGGTTATGTGAAAATATTTGATCCTTTAATTTACAAAGTTTCCTTAACAACAATTTAAGAAGGAAAAATGAGTTTAATGTTCTAAATTTATCATACTGGTTGGTAAAATAAGCACATTTGAAAATACTCATCTGCATTATTGGAAAAATCCTCTTCCTTATTATTTTTGTCAAATTTAGTTGCTTCAGAGTTTTATATTACTATTACTTGTCTCAATTTTTCTCTCACTCTTTACTTTATCTTGCTTTTTTAAATTTTCATAACAGATTGGGGAAAAAATGAAAGAATAGCTGCTGATGGATTGTGAAAGTCACTGGCAGGATGGTGTGAGCTCCCCATCTTTCCACTTCGAGATAGCACACTCTTGCAATCAATGATTCACCTTTGCTGATCAATGGCAAAAAATATTCTCATCATCTGGCAAATTTTAGCTTAGTAGACTGACCAAGCTTTGCAGTTCTGGAGGCAAAAAACCAGGAATGTTGTGTGCTGATTGTTGGCTGTCCTTCTTGTTGTTATGTGCCGTCGAGTCGGCCTCGACTCATAGCAACCCCTTCTTGGGTTTCCGAGGCAGTATCACTTCGGAAGTAGATTGCCCAACCTTCCTTCCGAGGAGTGGGCTGGTGGGTTTGAACTGCCAGCCTTCTGGTTAGCAGTCAAGTGCCTTAGGAACTACGCTACCAGAGCTCCTAGAGATGGCCCGTCTACTTGGTGGGGAACGGCTGGTGGGTTTGAACTGTGAGCCTTGGGTGTGGCAGGTGACTGCCTTAGGCCTGAGGCCATCCCCTAGGTCCTTCTAGAGCCACGTAACTCACTGGATGTATAGAAGCTCATGGAGATATTAAAGAATTAGCAGAATCCCAGAGACTGAGGTGAGCTGCAAGTCTGCAGAACTTGTCATTCAAACTTTGAGTAACCATTTCTTAACTTGTCAAGTGCTGTGAATAATGGCTATTTTCTCCTATTCTCACCTATTAAAGGCTGCTTGAACTGCTATCTTGTAACCATAACCACTTCTAGAGGACAAGTAGGCTGACTTGGGCCACCTGGAGGCCAAGTGAAAAGTGATTTGACTTATCTCTTTTCTACATCCTCAGTTCTTTCTTACATCTTAATAGGCCTGGAACTAAAGTCCTATGTAATAACAAACTCCTTCTCCTTTTTCTCTACCATTCCCAGTCCATTTCACCCACTTCAAATATGATCTTTCTCATGGAAGAGATCATTCTCTTTGATCTTCTTCCTTTCCCTTTCCTTCTGGGGAAAACAAAAATTAATTATTGCACTGTCTCCTTCTTCCTTTCTTCTTTGCACTGTCAGGCCTCCCATTAGAAAAGAAAAAAAATATAAAAATTACTGGGACAATTTTCTAATTCTTTAATACAGGTATGAGTTTTGAAGTAAAATTAACTGTTATGGCCTTTCATCAACAGCTGCCAACATCTGAAATCTCTGAAATGGTCAAAAGTTCTTTTCAAAGTCTCCATAAAACCTTGAATATAACTCTACACTCATCTTTAATTATAATTATTCCCTTCAACAAGAAATGTCTTTTAAAACTCCCTGATAATGCTTATCTTATGGGTTGATTCTCAGTATTCCAATAATAGTGTTGTTGGCTTTTTTTTTTTTTTTTATCCTATGGAAAGTATACAGATTTCAACTGTGTTATGAGTTAAAGAAGTTTTTAAGGACAAGAATCTGGGAACCAAATCACAACTTTTAATATTGCTTTTCCAGGAAAGTTTTCTAAGTTCCACACAATGCCTAAGAAATGAACTTCTGGAACAGCCCATTTATAAGCTAGGGCCTGATAGATATTTATCCATGCAACAGAACTGAAAACGAGTGCCCAACTGTATGCATGGGATACACAGGATATGCAGACCATCAAATCACGGCAGCCGGCACATCCTCCAGACCCCTTCCAGAGTGAATAGCCAACAAAGCTCAAAACCAAAATGGTCTAGGAGCCAGTGAATATTCTGTGATTTCTAAGACACATCTGGTTTTTAATGCATTTTCTTCCATTGCATGTTGAAGAAACATATGTTTAACTGTGGCACAAATAGCATTTGAAAACCTCAAGGGAAGGGGACTTAGAGTTGAAATAGGTTTCAAGAGATCAAGCCAGGCATCACAGAAGGAAGCCTAGAGTTGAAGCCAATTAAGTAATTGTATTATTAAGCAGAAGTTACTTATAAAATGTCATTAGAAATCTTTGTTGTTGTTGTTGTTATGTGCTGTCGAGTTGGCCCTGACTCATAGCAACCCCTCCTTGGGTTGCCAAGGCAGTATCACTATGGAAGGAGATCGCCCAACCTTCCTTCCGAGGAGTGGCTGGTGGGTTTGAACCACTGGCCTTCTGGTTATCAGTCAAGTGCCTTAGGCACTATGCTACCAGAGCTCCTTAGAAACCATTACAGAGCTGCAAAATAGAAACTTACAGAAATTCCCAACTTGCATGTGAAAGGCCAATGTAATATTTACATATTAGCTAATGATCCAGTGAGTCTCAGAGTTGGGAATGTTGACTTACAAGGGCCTGATCTGAATGGGGAAATGGAAATAGCAATAGAAATCAAATTACTGTTAGGTCAAAAGATCATACTAGCCAGAAGAGTCCTTTACTCTTCCCATACCTCCTTATAAGATTGGAGATGGGCCAGCCTTGGTCAGAGGGGCCTCAAAACCTGTCCCCCTGCAATCAATAGAGAAGGAAGAAAGTGACATTTGCTGACTTTTGCTTGCTTGGTTGTTTGAACCTTCAGGTTTAAAGTCATGCCATTGAGTATACCATCATATACTCAAAAATGATAAAAGATGTTTAAGGATCCTATTTTCCCCTGAAGAACTTGACAATGCTCTGGTGGCATAGTGCCTAAGGCATTTAACTGCTAACCAGAAGGCTGGCAGTTCAAACCCACAAGCCACTCCTCGGAAAGAAGGTTGGGCAATCTACTTCCATAGTGATACTGCCTCGGAAACCCAAGGAGGGGTCACTATGGGTTGGATCTGACTTGAGGGCAGTGAGTTTGGTTTGGCTTTATTGTCATATAGAACATTAACTCCCTTTCTAAACTCTTTGAACACTTAGAGCCATTTCCGCATTATTTGGCACTTAATTCTCTGCAGTTTCATATTATTCTTTGATTACTTAGTACATGCAAATCTGGCCTCCTCATTAGGAACATAAACACCTTAAAGGCAAGTAAATGGACTTAAATTTCATTAGGATCTCCCATAATACCAACACACTGCTGGGAAGAGTGGGTATCTGGTAAACAAAGGTTGATTAATTTACAGGATGAGGCCCAGGCACACGGCCACAAGCACTGAAGTAATGTCAATTCCATATGCCAATCTCAGCACAACTTCCCAGGAATATAAATGATGGAGAATAGAAGCTAGGAAGACTCCTTGGTGGTCATGCAGAGCCACGTCAGAGTGGAGAAACCATGACTCTCACGTGTAAAGAAAGTCTTCACAATCTACGGACCATAATCTCCATGAGATCAGGAACTATGCTTGTTTTGTTCCCTACTTAGCACTAGCACATACTAAGAGCTCAAAAGAGAGATGTTGAATGAATGAAAAACATGTGAAACTAGGTTTCTCCCCATTGTTGTAGTTGTTGTTAGCTGCCATGGAGTTAGGGCTTGACTCATGGCCACCCCATGTACAATGGAAGTAAAATTATGCCATCCCCATGATCAGCTTGGACTGGACCACTGTGATTCACAGGGTTTTCAATGGCTAAATTTCAGGTCCTTCTTCCTAATCTGGCTCAGTCTGGAAACTGCTGAAATCTCTTCAGCATTATAGAAACATGTAATTCACCACTGACTGACAGATGAGTGGTAGCTACGCATGAGGAGTATGGCTGGGAATGAAACCCAGGTTCTCCCCATTACTCTCCTGGATTAATGCAGCCACACTTTGTGTTTTTCTTTATTCATCATTTATATTTAATACACAGAAGGTAAGATGACTTCAGAAACCAAAACAACATGGCCTCCAGAGTGTGTATTCAGGGAGGCGGTTTCCTCTCAGGCCTGCCCAGGTATGTGGGGAGGTGTTGCTGGGAGGTAGAGGACCAGGGAGGAAGGTCATTGGCTCACTAGCCCCAGGTCTCAGGGCTTAATGTGGAGGGACAATCACTACTCTGCCAGAGAGAAGTGGCCGGAAGTCAAAGTAGGCTCTTGGCAGCCTCTAGGCAGTGAAACACTACTTTGAGTAATCTCCATCTGACTGGCAGCTTCCTTCCAGGGAATACTGCCAACCTGGTTGTGACAGCTGTCAGAGCACAAGTCTCTGAGATTATCTGGTACACTGTCTGTCTGCTACTCACGGGAAGTAGCAAGGAAACTCAGATGCTGAGGGACCCCATTTTCCACCAGCTTTCATTTTCAGTGACATGCATGGCTATCTTGTCCTTTCAAGATGGCCTTTGGCTTTTCTGGTCAGTATGCTGAACCTATTGATTCTGGATTCTGGGTATGAAGGGGAACTAGAGTCCACTCTGTTCTCAACCACTGTTGGTTTTCACTGTGACCATGTGATCACACTTCTTTATAAGCATCTTATCACAGCAACTGACACCTGTCATAGGTTACCAGGAGAAGCAATCACCTGTTTATATATATATATATACATTTAAATTAAAGATGGCCTCTTAACCATTTACTTCTTTCCAAAATGAAATCTCAAAGTTTTAATACTTCTTACTTGGAATGTTTATGTTTTAAGGGATGTTGATCAGGGATCACCTTTTTCTATTCTCCTAAAGCAACAACTTTTATTGAAATTTGCTGATAAGTGAATTCAATTTTCCATCAAGAGGTGCATAAATGTTCTATTGGGCACTCAGAGGTGAAAAGTTAAAAGTGAAATTTCAGACATTACCTTTCAGCATCATTCGTCCAGTGGATCCTCCAAAAGTACTGAGAAGGCCACTTCTTGCTCCTAAAGATGTGGTTGCTTCTAGGAGAGACCCAGTGATGTACTGAGATATGGAAGTCCTTTGGAGGGTGGCACGATACTCACATACGGTGTCTTGGACACATTGCATTAAGCATGGACCAACACTAATCCTTCCATGGGCTGTTTCAGAGGCTGGGAGCTTTCTGAAGAAATGGAGAAGAGAGCCAACTGTATCTTCTATTTCTTCTCCTCTTCTCACTGGATTGTAAAGCTGTGAGTAGCACAAAGTACAGGAAGTATTAATCTAGTTTCTTAGAAAAGCAAATTAGCTTGTTGACAAAATGCCAAGATGACTTATTAAGAAAGAAGGCTCAGTCGTTCCAAGCACAAACAATCTCGAGCACTGGACTCATGCATTAACCTGAACATTCTACAGACACGATTTATTTGGAAAAGCTATGTGTAGTTATGAAATAGGCCATTCAAACAATGTTGCTATCAAACAAAGCACTTACAAGTTGTACCATCCAAAAAATATGTTCAGCTCAAATTTCTCCTCCTCTTCAGCAGACAGCAAAGATCCTCTGCAGAAGGACAAAGGCAAACCTTTCCTTTTCATCATTTTGGACACGCCTGAGTGACTGTCCCATGTGTGTTTGCCTCCACGGACACTCCAGTCTGATATTCATGAGGAATCTTTTCTCCATACTCAAACTGAAGTAAGGACGAAAAGGAAGGAAAGCTTCTCTATTTCTCTCTTAGGCATAAACCTTCAATCCATCAGCTAGGACCAAAGTCTTTGAATTCTTTTTAGCTCTTCCTCATCTATCATCCACATCCAGTCAACAGACAAACCCTGTCCACTCTTCCTGCCCTTCTCTCTCACTATCCTGATTTCTTCTCCCTTTAAAACCTGAATTAATCATGAATTATCTCTAGATTTGACTATTAGGACAGGCTCCCCACCATTCCCATGTAATTGTTCATCATACATTTTGTACAAGGAACTATGTCGAAATAAAGATATGGGACATGTGCAAAGGGTAACATACACCCCTTGTGCTGTAGAATTTCACAATCTAATTTGGAAGATGAAGCCTGACAACTATGAGGTTTTATATTATTGTAGAAAGGTCTGTAGTTTTGTCAAGGACTCTGGGAAGTCAGAGACTTCTGGGTAGTGTATAAAAAACAGGAAAGAAACACAAAATAGAGTAAGTTACTCTAGGTTTTTGATGGTGAAATAAATGTTTACAATATAGTGTTGTATCCATCCTGCTACCTTGAGCCTCTTGCCTTGGATGAATCATTATTCATTTATCAAATCAACAGTTATTAAATATATATATATAGGTCACTGTATCATGCTCAGAAAAATAAGAAATCTTCCTTCTAAGATCCTGTGCTTTACTAAGGGAGACAGACAAATAAGCAAAAACCTTACAGAAAGGTGGAAATAGAGGTCATCTCCTCTGGTGACATAAATGAGTAAGCAGGGATGAGAAGACCTCCCATACCCTCCCAGCACTTGTGATGCTGCAGACTCTAAAACTCACTTTAGCCAGGACCCATCAGCACTCAAGAGGGCCTCTGTTGAGCTTTTAAAGGTCCTTATGGGACCCCAGAATGTGCCCAGAATTCACCTGATATCCAAATTTCACTGACCTTAGCTAGATTTCTACTCTGCCTTCCTCTATCTGTTGTTTTTGCCACTTAAAGGTACAGTATGAAGTTTTAGCTTAACATTCTGTTACTAAATTATTGGTGGCCAGTGTGGCCATGGATGGTGTGCTGGGATAGAATAAGTCCAGGCTTTAGGGGTAGGTATGTGGGGGTCTGACAAGTGGCTCTACCTTGACCAGCTCTCTGACCATGAACTAAGTGACTGGACAGTTCTGAGACAGCTTCCTCCCTGGTAAGATGGGAATGATGACACCCCTTTGTAGGGAAGTTATGAGATTCAGTGAGATAATACATGTAAATTACTCAGTCCAGTGTCTAGAAATGAAATAGTGCCATCACTCTTAATTGGGTCAGCCTGTGGGAAGAGAATGAACTCTTCTACCCTTGGAATGTTGTTGTTGTTGTTATGTGTTGTCGAGTTGGACCCGACTCATAGCGACCCCTCCTTGGGTTTCCGAGGCAGTATCACTACAGAAGTAGATAGCCCCATCTTCCTTCTGAGGAGTG